TCCGAAGGTCAGTCTCATCTGTTCAATGGGAATGATAGTAGTAACCACTTTATAGACTGGTTATGAAGATTATGTAAGAGAAGTGCTTCACTTTAGGGACTGGCACAGACTAAATGCTCAACAAATAATAGCTGCTTTTATTATTGCTATCATTATCCTATTTCCATATCTGTATAACTGGTTGCTCTATAACTTCACAGAATGATTATAAACATACTCATTCAAGGTCTGTTGAATATTGCCCTGGCTGGTATGGCTCAGTGGATTAAGTGCCGGCCTGTGAACTGAAGGGTCATCGGCTGGATTCCCAGTCAAGGCACATACCTGAGTTGCCAGGCCGGGTCCCCACTTGGGGGCATGTGAGAGGATGTATCTCTCACACATCGATGTTTCCTTCCCTTTCTTTCCCCCTTCCTTCCCTGTGCTTTAAAAATAAATAAGTAAAATCTAAAAAAAAGAAGGTTTGTTGAATATCTACTATGTGCCAAGCACAGTTTTAGGTACTTGGGGTAGATGTCAGTGAATAAAACCAATAAATATTTCCATTCTTAGAGTGTTTATGTTCTAATGGGGAAAGGCAGGTAATAGATATAATAAGTAAATTATTATAGTAAGTCAAAATTGTATATAAATACTGTGGAGAAAAGCGGGGAGGATAAGGGAGGATTGAGGTTGCAATTTCAAGTGGGGTGGTCAGGTGAGGCCTTTTTGAGAAGGGAATTAGAGGGAAATGTATAAAATGTCTTGTCAGGTGTAAAAAGAGCTAATTTAGGGTCATACATCCTGTTACCACAGATGACCTCACAAGGCTGAGGCTGAGAAAGATGGAGTCACTCCTAATCACCCAGACTGGAACCCAGATCTGCGTAAGGTCGGGTCCAGAGTGCAGACTCCCCCAACCCAACAGTCTTCCCCTTGCCTATCCCTTCTCTTCTCAGGTCTTTCTGGCCTTGGCTCTTGTCTTTCTTTGTGCCCCTAACCCTGACCCCTTCCAAGCAGGTGAGAAGTTGGGAGAAACTGCAGCTGCAAGAGTGCTTGTGGTCCGGTGAGTGGGGCTGGCACAAGGCTGGGGCAGGGCGGTTGCGATAGGGGTGCATCCTGAATGTGCCAGCTCCTGGGGTGAAGCTCAGGCATGGATGGCACACGGCAGCTCCCAGCAAGGTTGGGTCTTAGAGTGGACTCATCCCTTTCAGACTCCCTGGGTCCCCTCAAGGATGATATGCTGCTGGTGGAGACACGAGGCCCCCAGGACAACAGATCACTCTGTGCCTTGGAACCCAGTGGCTGCACCCCACTACTCAGCAAGGCCTCCACGGTGAGGGCGGGTGGGCTCTCTTCCATGCACCTCTCCAGCTCCATCTCAGACCTGGTCTCGAATTTTCCCTCTGTTCAGTTTTTCCCTCCTCTATGCCAGGCTCTGTGCTGGTCTTTGGGAACATGGGAGTGATTCAGACCTGGGCCCTGTTCTCAGTGGCCTCTCAGAAATCTCCCAGCCCCAGCACCCTCCTTCCCCTTCATTCTGCCCAGCTGCAGCCTGGAGGTCTCCTAGGTGTGGTGCCCCTAGGTGACAGCCCCCTACCCCTTGGCTTGGCAGAGGGCAGCTCGCTTTGGAGAGCAGTTACTAGAAGACCTGCAGTCAGGCCAGTGTCTGCAGGTGAGTAGGTGGCAGGAGAGCCCTGCCCCAGTGCCCAAAGGCAACTGTCCTGACACTGTACCTTTGGCCTCTTCCACTTCTTCCTGTGCCTAGCAGAGGGCACCAGGGAGACTCTCACCCCTCCTAGGTAGAGGCCCCCTCACCATCCTCCTAGCACCCACCCACTATCCTTTTGTGTGCTTTTTGTATCCAGTCCTGGGGAGGCTAAGAGTTGAAGAAGCATAGCTCCTGTCCCCAGGTTGCTCACTGCTGGTTAAAAATCCATAAACAGATAACATTCTCATGTGCTAAGTGCTGGTTTTGGGAGCGGGGTACTTCAAGGAAGTGTCTCTTCACATGGGCCAGATCTGGCCTAGAGGAAGACACAGTCCAGGCAGTAGGCAGAGCACAGGTAAAGGCAGAGCAGCTTGAGGGAACCTGCTGTGTGTAGGGGGATAATGCGTAATTGAGGCTGGGAACTTGGAGATCAGGCTGGCTAGAACTTGGTGAGTGCTGAACGATAAGCTGAGAGCTGTGCACTTGGATTTGTTTGTGTCTTACAGCTATGGGATGATGAACTGGGAGCACTGTGGGCCTGCCCCATGGACAAGTGTGAGTATTATAAGAACCTCCTTTCCTCTCCACAGCTCTAGAGGAGCTGGAATCTTGCCAGGGACCATTCTTGGGGGCAGCACACACAAAGGCCTTGTCCTTCCGTGGCTCAGATACATCAGAGGGTCATTCCTTCCTTCATTCAGAAACCAGGAGGAGAGCTTGCAAGGAATTCCGGCATCACCAAGACACAATCCCTTCCCCCTACCCCAGCTGTAGAAGGCTAGAAAGACATTAGCCCCAAATCACTTACATTTGGTAAGTGTGAGTTATTGAAACATTCTCTATAAAGGAAAACTATCCAAAGCCATGACTACATATAAGAGGAACCTAACCTCAGTGGGGTGAAGAGTTCAGGGGAAACATTGAAGCTGCACTCCAAAGCCTGATCAAGGTGAAGGAGGTAGAGACCCATTTTTGTGAAGACTGTGGGATGACTGTGGGACAGGCAGGCCCCGGTCATAAGATGAGGATATCAGGGCCATGTAGGTACCTTGGGAGCCAATGTAAGGAATTTGGAATTTAACTTAAGAGCAGCAGGAGCTTCCAGAAAGGCTACATAATCAGGTCCGTATTTTTAAAAAGATCTCTGCCATGTGGTGAATGAACTGGAGACAAAAAAGCAGTCAGGGATATCAGAAGGCTGTTGCAGGTATTCAGGAGAGTGAAGTCAAGGACCCAGCCATCCTCAGCTTAAGGGAAAATAATATTGCTGACATTTGAGAACTTCTGGCCTGGCATTCTAAGTGCTTTATGTTTATCAATATATGTAGTTCTCACAGCAGCCCTATCAGTAGGTACTATTGTTATCCCAATTTTATTTATTTATTTTTAAAGATTTTATTCACTTATTTTTAGAGGGGAAGGGAAGGAGAGAAGGAGAGAAACATCAATGTATAGTTGTTTTTTTTTGGTGCATCCCCTGCTGGGAACTGGCCTGCAACCCAGGCATGTGCCCTGACTGGGAATCAAACCACGATCATCTACTTCGCAGGCCCGCGCTCAATCCACTGAGCTACACCAGCCAGGGCCCAATTTTATTTTATTTTTTAAAATATTTATTTATTTTTAGAGAGAGGGGAAGGGAGGGGGAGAAAGTGAGGAGGGAATCATCATGTGAGAAACACATGGATTGGTTGCCTCAGTACCGTGCCCCAGTGAACTGGGGCCTTTTCACTTTTCCGGACGATGCCCAGCCACCTGAACCGTACCAGTCAGAGCTGTCATTCCAATTTCACAGAGGTGAAAAACTGAGGCAGAAAGTGAAGTCACTTGTCCAAGGTCTCTGAGTCATGGACCTATTGATATATTCATATGATGTATACTGCCTCTAACACTACATGGACTTTGGGAAAGTCACTTCATTTCTCTGACCTTCAGTTTTTCTCCTTCATGAAGTGGAGTGAAAGTGTAAGGCCTCTAACTAGCCCATTTCCTCCCCTGGTTCTCCCAGATATCCACCAGCGCTGGGCCCTGGTGTGGCTGGCCTGCCTTCTCTTTGCTGCTGTGCTTTTCCTTCTCCTCCTTCTCAAAAAGGACCATGCGAAAGGTGAGTCATTTCCGGCTCCCCAATCCCCAGGGGCAGGACTGGAGCGGGGGTGGGAGTTCACCGAGAGGAGGCAGTGGCTCAGCACACCCTCTGCCTCCGCCCCTCTCCCCTAACAGGGTGGCTGAGGCTCTTGAAGGAGGATGTCCGCTTGGGGGGTGAGTGTGAGCAAACTTCGGGCGGGGGGCCGCCCCCAGCGGGCCCGGCCTCAGGCCATCTCACGTCTCCCCTCTCGCTCTGTTCTCTCTGACAGCGGCCGCCAGGGGCCGCCTGGCTCTGCTCCTCTATTCAGCGGAAGACGCAGCCTTCGAGCGCCTAGTGGGCGCCTTGGCGTCGGCGCTGTGCCAGCTGCCGTTACGCGTGGTCGTGGACCTGTGGAGTCGTCGTGAACTGAGCGCACAAGGGCCCTTGGCCTGGTTCCACGCACAGAGGCTCCAGACCCTTCAGGAGGGCGGAGTGGTGGTCTTGCTTTTCTCTCCCGGGGCTGTGGCACTGTGCCGCGAGTGGCTGCAGGATGGGGCGTCGGCACTTAGGGCTCACGGCCCGCAAGACGCCTTCGCCGCCTCACTCAGCTGCGTGCTGCCCGACTTCTTGCAGGGCCGGGCGCCCGGCAGCTACATCGGGGCCTACTTCGACAGTCTGCTCCACCCAGATGCCGTGCCAGCTCTGTTCCGCGCCGTGCCCGTCCTCGCCCTGCCCTCCCAGTTGCCCGACTTCCTGCGGGCCCTGCAGGGGCGCAGTGCCCCCCGTCACAGGCGGCTTGCAAACAAGGCTGAGCAAGTGTTCCAGGCCCTTCAGCCCGCCCTGAACAGCTGCCTTCAGTCCCCGGAGACCCAAGAGGCAGGACGGGAGATGGGACCTGAGGCAGGGGACAGGACTTGAATAAAGGCAGATGCTATTTTTCCATCTATATCTCTCCAATGTGTCTCTCTGACAGAGCGGCTAGCCTCGTATGCCGCCCGTCGCTCTGTCCCCTCGGCCCTTTAACAAACAGGACAGGTGCACCCCGAAGCCGCCTCTGGTTGGCGGTAGCGAAATGACGCAATTGCACATGGCTCGCCACCACTGGCTGCGGCGTGGACTCCGCCCTCCGGACTGCGGGGCTGGCGGAGGCTGCACGTCTTACGCAGGCGGCTGTGGAGCTGGTGCTGAGGACGTTGAGCAGTCTGCGCCGGCAGGCTGGGTGGGTCGTCTTTTTCTCTTCCGCAGTCTAGGCGGATCGGGATCCTCCCCTGCCGACTCTTGGGCTGTGCCTTGGCCACCTGTGGGCCCTGAACCTAACCCCTTCCCTTTAGATCAGGATTCGGGCTCCTCCCCACAGGATCTTCATCCGCTACTTCTTCCCAGTACTTGGAATCTGACTCATTCTCCCTAATTCCATTGATCCTGCTCCTTATAACCCATATTCAGACCCCAAAACATGGGCTGATTCCTGCCTCCTTACCAAGGGTCCAGGATACCTCCCCAAGGGTAACAAAGATAACTCATTCCCGCTCATTTCCCCACCATACCCCCTCCTCTGGACTACCCAAGTCCAGCCTCCATTTCTTATAATCACAAATCTGGGCTCCCAGACCTGTGGCACCTCAGAACCGACCCTTTTCTTTCTCACCTGGCTCCTCCAGCGAACTCTATGCATGCCCTCCATTTATAGGTCCCCAGCCTGGGAAAAGATGGCCCCGCAACCCCCGAGGGGCCTGGTTCCAGGTCTGGTTTGGGGCCTGAGCCTCTTCTTCAGCCTCCCAGGTCCAGTTTGGCTCCAGCCCTCTGCTGTTCCCCAGTCTTCGCCGCCAACTGAGCCCCACCCGTGTCATACATGTCGGGGACTGGTCGACAGCTTCAATAAGGTGAGTGTACCAGCAGCTTGGTTGGTGGGAGGGGCCTGGCTGCAATAGCAAGTGATTGAGAATGGGGAGATCTGGCATGAAAGTCCGTATGGTTACTTAATAATTGTATGGCCTTAGGCTGGTTGCCTCTCCATGCCTGTTTCCCGGTCCCTGAGATACTGAAGTGATAGAATGTGCCAGGCACTGTCCTTCTGTACTTAGGTGTTACTAATTTTCTCCGTTTTCAGGGCTTGGAGAGAACCATCCGGGACAACTTTGGAGGTGGAAATACTGCCTGGGAGGAAGAGAAGTTGTCCAAATACAAAGACAGGTAAGGGGCTAGAAGGACAGGTTTGCATAGCTCATCTCCCAGTCTCTGCTCTACTGGTAGGGGTCTAGAGTCTCTTAGGGAGTGATTACTCATTCAACAAATATCACTGAATATCTATAGTACAGCAGTAAATAAGGCAAGCAAAATCCCATCTCCAAGTAGCTTAAATTTTTGTAGAGGAGATACACAGTGAATAGAGAAATAAATAATGTCATTAGGATGGACTACAGAATGGTGGGAGGCATGGTGTTCAAGGTGTGACACTGAACAGAGACCTGAAGGGAAGAAGCAAGCTATGTAACAATCAGGAAAAAGATGTGGATAGAGTGAGACTGAGCTTGGCATGTTTGAGAAGTGGCTGGAATGGGGTGAGAGAAGGTGAAAGCAGAGGCCTTGAAAGCCACAGAAAGGAGTTTGGATTTCTTTCTGACTGTAGAGGGAGGCCATTGGGAGGTTTTGAGCACAGAAGTGATGTGGTCTTATTTATACTTTTATACTTGTTACTCATGTGGCTGTGTAACAAGTAGAAACTATTAGAGGGCTGGGGCAGAGCAAGCAGGGAGACAGACTGAGAGGCTAATGCATGGTCTAGGCAAGGAGGTAGCAGGAGCTAGTGTGCTATCTATGGTGGTGAACAAGGTGAGAAGGGGTCAAATTCTGCATGTATTTTGCAGTTAGACTGCTAGGACTTGATATGGATTTGTTATGTGGTCTGAGAGAAATAAAAATAAAAGATGCTTACTAGGTTTTGGGCCTGAGCAAACTGGTTGAACTGTGAGGCCGTTTTCTGAAATTTACCTCCAGGTAAAACTGAAGGAGAAGGGGTAGGGGTGGGGTGGACCTGGGTGTTCTGTTTGAACATGTTGGGCTGAGAGGCACATTAAACAGTCCTTCTGAGTTAGGTTTAGATGAAGATGAGGTTGTATTGAATGGAAAGTTCTGAGCCCTAGGCTCTCTAGATTTTCAAAATCGAATTGAGGAGGAGTCAGCAAAAACTTGGAGTTAGACTTGGCTGTCAGTTTCGACCCTTGGTATCCTTGGGAAGGTCTCTTAACCTCTCTAAGCTTCTGTTTCCTCATCTGTGAAATGGGAATATTAATACTCGCTTTGCTTATTTCATAGGTCTGTGGTTAAGAATTAAACTGTTTGGTTTTATTATGTAACATTGGTCATTTTCCTTTCCCTCAATAGGCCTGTTTCTTTATTTGGTAGTGAGGGGATTGGCTAAAATAATCCTAAGGGAACTTTCATCTTTTAATGGCTGGCTCCTGGTTTTCTTTCTTTCTCCTTTTAAATCACCTCCTCCCATATGCCAGGCACTGTTTCAGACACTTTATATAACAATATACATTATATGATATATATATATATATATATATATATATATATATATATATATATGTTAGTTTTTATTGAGGTAGAATGTATGACACATAAAATTTACCATTAGACACATTTTTTAAAAGATTTTATTTATTCATTTCTAGAGAGAGGGGAAGGGAGGGAGAAAGAGAGGGAGAGAAACATCCATCAATTTCTTTTTATGTGCCCCTAACGAGGGACCTGGCCCGCAGCCCAGGCATATGCCCTGATTGGAAATTGAACGGTTGATCTTTTGGTTCCCAGGCCAGCATTCAACCCACTGAGCTGCACCAGCCAGGGCTAGAGACATTTAGTACATTGACAGTGTTGTGCAAGCTTTACCACTAGTTCCAGAACATTTTCATCATCCCCAAAGACACTCCATATCCATTAAGCTGTCACTCCCTTATTCTCCCCTCCCCGTTCTCCTTTCCCCTCAGCCCTTGACAACCACTAATTTGCTTCCTGTCTCTATGGACTTGCTAATTCTGTTGGGATCTTGCACTAATGCAGCCTTTTATGTCTGGCTTCTTTCACTTACAATGTTTTCAAAGTTCATCCATATTGTAGCATATACCAGCACTTCATTTCCTTTTTAAGGCTTAATCATATTCTGTTGTGTGGATATACCACATTTTGTTTATCCATTCATTCACCATTCCACTGATAGTTGGGTTGTTTCTACCTTTTGACTATTGTGAATAGTACTGCTATGAACATCTGTGAACCAGTTTGTGTTTGAACACCATTTGTGTGTAAACTCTGGAGTGCAGTTACTGAGTCATATGATGAGTTCATGTGTAACTTATTAAGGGTTTGCCAAACTGTTTTCCACGGTGTCTGCACCATTTTTTGTTCTTACTTACAGTACAGGAGAATTCCAGTTTTTCTGCATCCTCGTTAATACTTGCTATATAATATATTTCTAATTATATTGACCCAGCAAGGGTATGTATTCCATTGTGCAGATGCAGATATTGATTGTACACCAAACTTGTAGAGGAGGTATTGTCCCCATTTTACACATGAGAAAACAGGTTCGAGAGATGTTGGCTTGCCCAAGGTCACACAACTAGATTTGAATTCAGGTCCATCCGACTCTCAAAACCAGTGTCCCTTCCCTTATGCCTCATGGCCTTTCCTTTGACACTGTTGTGGCACGAGGAGTGGTGGGAGAGGAGACCTTCGGGAGGGTGTGGGTGCAGTGGAACGTGTTCCCACCACTGCCGCTCTGTCTGGCCAGTGAGACCCGCCTGGTAGAGGTGCTTGAGAACGTGTGCAGCAAGTCAGACTTCGAGTGCCACCGCCTACTGGAGCTGAGTGAGGAGCTGGTGGAGAGCTGGTGGTTTCACAAGTGAGTGGTGTGAGGGCTTTCCCGGGGTGGGGGCCACAGGCAGGGCCTCGTGGTGAAGCAGGCTGGGGGTTGCATGCCAGGAACTGTGTCCTGTTTTGGCTCTTTCTTCCAGACCCAGATCTGCTAAGGATTTGCTGAGGGACCCAAGCTCTCACTCTGAGCTTCAGTTTACCCCTCTGCCAAATGAGGAAAGGGCATTGGTCAGGTGGCTTTATGGGTCTTACATGCAGGATGGGTTGTGACACAGATTCTGTGGGAGGTCGGGGGAATGGGCATCACCTCTGACACTGTCTGAGCTCCGCTTGCTGTCACACCACCTCCCCACCTCAGGCAGCAGGAAGCCCCAGACCTCTTCCAGTGGCTCTGCTCAGATTCCCTGAAGCTCTGCTGCCCTTCAGGAACCTTCGGGCCCTCCTGCCTTCGTGAGTTCTCCAAGTTCCTCTTGGAGGATGGGAGGGGACTGTTGAGGCCAGGACTGCAGTCCTGGCTCTTCCCCTAGCAGGCTGTGTGAACTTAGGCTGCTTGGGTAACTCTTCGGGACCTTGGTTCTTATCTGCTTCACAGGGCTGGTGAGATGGGCCAAGATACAGAGCTAGACTGAGTCAGATGCAGCTGTGGTTTTTATCTTGTATTTGAGAAATGCCTCCACTTGCACCCCTCATTTCACATGCCTGCATCAGACCAGGCTCCATCCCTAGGGGGCCTTCCTAGGGTCCCAGGGGCTGTCCTGAAGCCCCCAGCATCACCACCTTTTTCTACACACACCGAAGTCAGGAGCTAGACTTACTAGTAGCCTCCTTTAGAAAAGTCTCTCCAGAAGCTACAGATAAAGAGTTAGTGGCAAAGATGGTCAATTCAGCCCTCATAAAAGAAAAGACGTATAGATAACCTAATTGTTCCACAATGGGGTAGTGGTTAAGTAAATTTCATGCAATATTTTATGACAAAATATTATGTTATTATTAGAATGCAGTTTTCTCCCCCCAGATGTTAATGCGTTCTGTGTACAAGATTATTTTTATAATCTCACCCGGTTTGGTGTCTGCCCACAGCCTGTCCTGGGGGCGCAGAGAAGCCCTGCGGTGGCTACGGGCATTGTGAAGGGGAAGGGACTCGAGGGGGCAGCGGGCACTGTGACTGTCAAGCCGGCTATGGGGGTGAGGCCTGTGGCCAGTGTGGCCTTGGCTACTTTGAGGCGGAGCGCAACGCCAGCCATCTGGTATGTTCGGGTAGGTAGCCAAGAGGCGAGGCTCTGGGGAGGGGCTGATGGGGTACCTGCCCGCCCGCCCTCATGCTTCTCCCATTCCACCCAGCTTGTTTTGGCCCCTGTGCCCGCTGCTCAGGACCCGAAGAATCAAACTGTTTACAGTGCAAGAAGGGCTGGGCCCTGCATCACCTCAAGTGTGTAGGTGAGTGGATCTGTGCCCTAGATCTGGGGAGGTGGGCAAGGGCTCTGGCTTGGTTTTCCATTAGTACTCACATCTCTGGGCACAACTAGACCAACACAGCTCCCATCTTAATGGAGACCTTGCCCTGGCTGGGAAGGCAAAACAGCAACCAGGCACTTAGAATATGGACTGATTTTTGTATACTGAGAGATGTCCCTGATCCAGCTTGGTGGTGTTACGGAATCAGCAAAGGCTTCTTAGAAGACATGTCACTTAGGCCAAGTTTGGAAAACTGAGGAACGGTTAGCCAGAGGAATGAGGATACTGAACTGGGGTCAGGAAACCTGGGTTTGAGATTTGGTTTGGCATCAAACCTAGCCATTTATATGAGTGAAAGTAATGGTTAAGGTTCTGTAACAAAAAGATCCCCAAAGATTGTGGCTTAAAGAATATAGAGGTTTATTTTTATCTTAAATCACAGTCTCAAAGCAAGTGGTCCAGGCTGGCAGGGAAGCTCTACTTGTCACAATCATTCAAGGACACAGATTCCTTCCTTCTTACTGTGCCGTCATCCCACTGGGTATTTATTGTCTTTGTTGTTGAGGCTCGATCACGGGCACCTCAACCTAGCACTCAGGAAATAAGAAAGGGAAGCAAATGCATGGATGGGTCCAAGCCCATTGTTTTAAAGCCAGGCTAAAAGTGGAACGCATCACTTCTGTTTACATCCTGTTGGCCAGAACTCAACCACAAGGCCGTCCTGGGCTGCAAGGCAAATTAGAAAATGTAGTCTCTGCCTGGGCCACCTGGAGTCCAGCTGCACCTCTGCTCCCGTGCTGGCGGACAGCCTGCAGCTGCTGCCATACCAGATGAGCCTGGCGAGTCTATTCCCCAACAGTCCTTGCCTCAGCTTCCCTATTAGTGAACTAGGGATTGAAATTTCCCATCCTGTTGGCCTCTCTACAGATATTGATGAGTGTGGCACAGAGCGAGCCAACTGCGGAGCTGATCAATTCTGCGTGAACACAGAGGGCTCCTACGAGTGCCGAGGTGAGTGTCCACCCCTGCAGAAGAGGGGACATGGGAAGCGTAGGAGCTGCTCCGCGCCTGCTCTCCCCAAACTTCTGCCTTCTCGGGCCCCAGAATCCTCCTGGGCCTAGGGGCAGTTCTTAGTCTTATCTCTCTTCTCTCTTCTCCAGACTGTGCCAAGGCCTGCCTGGGCTGCATGGGGGCGGGGCCTGGCCGCTGTAAGAAGTGTAGCCCTGGCTACCAGCAGGTGGGCTCCAAGTGTCTCGGTGAGTCTCCTGCCAATGGGCCATAGGTACCTTGGAGTGTCTTGCCACCATGAATTGAGAGGGCCTGGGACACGGACAGGGTAGGGGAAGGAAGGGTGGAATGTTACCTGGGCAGAAGGGTGTCAGGATGTGAGAGATGGAGTCAGGGGTGCTACATGTGGGACCCTGGCAGCCAGAGCTCTGATCCCTCCTCACCCTTCTTCAAGATGTGGACGAGTGTGAGACAGAGGTGTGTCCAGGAGAGAACGAGCGATGTGAAAACACTGAGGGAAGTTACCGTTGTGTCTGTGCCGAGGGCTACAAACAGATCGAGGGCATCTGTGTGAAGGAGCACATCCCAGGTGAGTTCTAACCTGGCCCCCAGCAAACCCCTTCTCCAGGCAGTTACAGGCTCTGCCCCTCCCCCGCTTCAGCCCCTATGCAGTTGCGTTGAGACCCTAAGCCTACATCTGATCTCCCGAGTAGCTTTTTGTGGCCTTGCACCTCCCTAGGATAGAAGAAAACTGGACTTGCCATCAAGTCCCCAAGCCTCTTTCCTCATCTGGCCAATGGGGCCAGTCCTAGCCCTGGTTTGCTGAGAACTATTGTAGGCCATGGTGTGGTGAGATGGAGGACATGATGATGACAGTAGCGATCGCTTCCACAGTTCTTACCCCGCGTGAAATACTGTTCCAAGCATGTTACCTGTATTAATTTACTTGACCCCTAAAAGAAATCCAGTGCTGTAGGTATCTTTTTCCTCCCCATTTTACATAGTGGAAACTAGGATGCAGAGAAATGAAGCACCTTGCCCAAAGCCACAGGGCAAGCAGGCTGCAGAGCTGGGAGCCAAATCCAAGCAGGCTGGCTGGTATGCATAACACATGCTGTTGCAGCTCACTCACCACATGGCCTTGGGCAAATCTCTTCACCTCTCTGAGCCTCGGTTTCCCTTTTAATGAGACAGGGATAATTACTGCTCCTCTTAGAGTTGTTCTCAGGAGCAAATAACATTGTGTGCTGGCATGCCCAGCAGGCATGTGGCAGCAAGGACAGGGTGTGTGGGAGACTACAGCAATTGAAGAGTGGCAGGCACTTCTCTTATTCTTTGCAGAGCCAGCAGGCTTTTTCTCAGAGATGACGGAGGATGAGCTGGTGGTGCTGCAGCAAATGTTCTTTGGTGTTATCATCTGTGCACTGGCCACACTGGCTGCCAAGGGTGACTTGGTCTTCACCGCCATCTTCATTGGGGCTGTGGCGGCCATGACCGGCTACTGGTTGTCAGAGCGCAGTGACCGAGTGCTGGAAGGTTTCATCAAGGGCAGATAATCTCTGCCACACTTCTAGGATCTCCTACCACCCAGGTTGCCTCAAGAAGTCAGGCATCTCTCCTGCCTGGACAGCTTGAGGCAGCTTGCTTTATTTTTGAGAATGGGATAAGCAGCCCCTACCCGCCTAGGGAGCAGCCTAGGTACCCAGGCCTGGGCCGGTGAAGCCCCTGGGGTAAGGAAGTATCCCTAAATGTGAGTGCCGTAAGATCTTGGCCTTGTGGGGACCAGGCAGGCTTCACAATGTGTGTGGATTTTTAAAAGTGTCTCCTTACAGTGGCTGCTAGTGAGCTTGGCCTCTGCCCAGGATGAGAGGGGAGGTGGGTCCCTTCAGGGATGAACCCATCACAGTCTTCTCCTGCCAGCTGCATGCTGCCAGCTCCTGTTTGGTATTCACCCCACCACCCCTCAATCACTGATTTATTTATTCATCTCAGGAAATAAAGAAAGGTCTTGGGAAATGGAGAAACTTAAATCTTACTACCTGTTCCTCACCCACAATGGGCTGGTCTAAGCTACTGAGAGCCCAACCCTACCCTTGGGGAAGTTTTCTCAAACCCTGGGAAATTGAGGGCTGCCCTGGTGAGGGCGTAGAGGAGAGAGGAGAGGCTTGGCCCTGAAGTAGTGTTTAGGAGAAGGGGGATGGAGGATGCGGCCTTCAGAATGGAACTTTCTGGGTTCAGTACCAGCTGTTATTTGGGCCAGAGGACCCTGGGCAAATGACTTTTATCTCTGAACTTCACTGGCATGATAATGCTTTCCACTCAGGCTTATTATGATAATTAAATGTGATGAAAATGCAGAGCTGAAGACTGTACAACAAATAGATGTTCAATAAAATATTGGTAGCCTTACTTCTAAAGCTGCTAAGGGTTCAGTGCCCTTTCTTTTGGCAATCCCCCTGTCCCCAACACATACTGAACTCGGAATTACTGGTGGGGTGGGACCTCCTACCTCTCCTCTGCACAGGATCCTGGTGTGGCCAGAGGGAGGCATGAGCCAAGTCCCAAGGGTTTATTTCTTTGGCACAAAGAGGACAGTCAATCTAGACAAGCCAGCCTCATCCCTCCACATTGGAGAGTCTGGAGGGGTGTTTGTGGCACCTGAAGCCCATTCCCCATACGTAATCCATGCATGTCCACCCTGTATTCCGCGGCAAGTCACAGCCTCTGTGCAAAATACCTGCTGGAAAAAAAATAGAGATATTTAAAAAACCAAAAAACGGGAGGAGGTGGGTGGGTTCACTCCTGGCTGTCTCTGCGGGTACAATCAGGTTGAGGACCCGGGATGCCAGTTTTTCAAATGCTCAACGGTCCCAGTCGCCCGTGCCATTCTGCCACCGGCCAAACGGGGGTCGGGCCTTGGTCCTGCAGCAGCGCTGGGCTGTCTCAGAGCTCAATGGTGTCACTGGAGGCGCTGCGGGAGTCCCCCGGCTTGCATTGAGGCTGGACCTCACTCAGGGGTTCCTCGTGCCGGGTAGCAGCAGGGGCAGGTAGTAATTGCACCGTGCTGGGCAGCTCATCTAGGGGCAGACTGTCCACCGACGACAATCCGTGGCACCACGGGTTCCAGCTGATTTTGAGCGAGCCCCGGGAGAAACTGTCCATGGAGCTGCCAGAGGCCACCCGCTCGGGCTCGTCCACCACGTGTGGTGGAACCGGCCCGCGCATGCGTACGTCGCTGAGCGAGCGGCAGCGGCTGTGGAGGAGCGAAGAGCCCGGGCCTTCGAACTCGGCGTCCGGGTGGCTGCCCCGGCGCGCCCGCAGCGTGCCCCCTGGCGGCGGGGAGGCGAGGCCGCGCAGGCCACAGCGTCGGAATACGCTGTCTCGCACCAAGTGCTCTCGGAAGAGCGCGGCGTCGATGCTGCGACTCAGGTTGATAGGCGAAGGCGGCCTCAGGTCCAGCTCACTCATCGACGGTGCAGGCCCCACGCTGCTACGGGAGAGTCCCTGGCCATCCTGGGGCCCCCGACCCAGCGATGCAGCGGAGCCCCTGGCGCCTGAAGTGGGCGTGGCAGGCGGCGCTCCCTCCCCAGGGTTGCGGATGAGGCTCTTGCTGATGTCCAGGCTACCGGCACCGACGCTATTATGCCCTGCATAGCAGTTGTTGGGTCGCTCCGGCACCTCGCTTTTGCCCGAGGGCGCAGGACACGCCAGGCGCAGCAGCTTAGCCCAGCACGCATGCTCCGTGGGCGGCCTGGGCCGCGCGGCGGCGACAGCAGCCAGCGCCAAGGCGAGTGCCCATGCCAGTTCCAGCAGGCGCAACCAGAAATGAACTCCCCACCAGGCCCAGGAGAAGCGACTCACGCGGCCTGGGCCCGGGTATAGCCAGAGCGCGGCCGCCAGCTGAAGGCCGCTAGCCAGCAGCCCCAGTGCGCCCGCCACTGCTAGCAGCCTCGGGCCCGGGCTGGTATCCCAGCCCCGCGGCCCATCCAGCAAGCGGCGACGGCATAGGCAGAGGGTGCCCAGAGCCACGGCTGCGCCCCAGGCACAGGAAAAGCCCTGAGCCAAGAGGTTGAGAGCCGGTCTCGCCGACAGCAGGTCTGTAACAAGTAACTCCACGCCGTGCACCAATGCCACTACTCCCAACAGAAGCGGGTTCTGCAGCTGCGGTGGCAGCCCAGCACCCAAGCCGAGCAGGGTCAGGGCCGCCAGTGCAGTGAGCAGCAAGGGGAAGGGTAGGTTGTAGAGCACCAGGCCGGCGCGTAAACCCAGCCGCGCCTGCGAGCCGTACGGGTCCGCGAGCATGTAGGCAGATCGCAGCCCTGATGCTAGAAGCACCAGCACTGCGGCCACCAGCGCCAGCCAGGGCCCCGCAGGGGCGGCTGCCAGAGAGGCCACTGCCAGCAACGCTGGCAGCAGAAAGAGCACCCCGACCCCATATACGTGCAGCTCCCAGGAAAAGCTCAGTACCCTCCGTAGGGGACCCCAACGCAGGGGGGGCGCGGTGGCATTGGCCGGAGGGCTAGAGGCTGGGGGTGATGCCAAGGAGCTGGCTGAGGGCTCCGGAGGGGGTGGCTGTCCCAGGGCACGCTGCGTGGTGACCCGAATGAGGCCCCGGCGTGACGTCGAGGGGGCCTGAACCGGGGGTGCTGGGGGATGGCTTTGGGGGCGCCCGGGCCATTCCTCGGCTTCATCTGCAATAATAACAATATTAAAGTAGCCCTTTGTGAAATGCTTTTGATTTTCCATTATTCCCTAGTGTGGTGGGCAAGTTATTTAACTTTTCCAAGCACATCTATGAAATGGGGATGGGGTAGGATTAAATGTTTAGCATAGTGCCCAGCACCCAATATGTGTTAAATGGATGTGAGCTATCATTTTTATTCATAATATATTAGCAGTTCCCAACATGGACTGCATATTAGAATCACCTGGAGACCAACCAAATCAGAATTCCTTGAGAATTTTTAAAAAGCTGGTTGGGTGAGCCCTGGCCGGGTGGCTCGGTTGGTTGGAGCATCCTTCTGTGCACCAAAGGGTTGTGGGTGGTTCTACCCCCCAGTCAGGGCGCATACCGAGGCTGTGGGTTTGATCCCCAGTGGGGGCACATTCGGGAGGCAACTGATCAATGTTTATTTCTCACATGTCTCTCTCACTCTCTCTCCCTCCCCCCACCTTCCTCTCTCTCTAAAATCAACAAACATATCTTTGGGTGAGGATTAAAATAAATAAGTAAGTTAAAAAGCTCCCTGGATGATATTCCAGAGTTGGAGAATCACTGCACAACACATCCTTGTTACATGTAGGAACAGTCTAGCCCCCAAAGGTCAAATGACTTTTCCCAGAGCACCCAGTGTTGGTTTATTATCCCAAGTTGTTTGAAGGAATCCTAGCCAATTTCTTTAAGATGTTTGTCCTTATTCACTCCCCTCCCTCCCATGTGGACCTCACACATATTCTTAGTTATTAGACAGAGTACCCGCTCTCCCCAGACCCCCAGCCATGCCCTCACCTGGCTGTAGGGGCCCCGTGGGGCTCTCCGTTCGGTTTGTAGTTGGGCCAGGTCCCAACGGGCCAGGGATGAGGGACTTGGGGGTACCTGGGGCCTCCACTGCTCCTCTCACACGCTGGGGAGAAATGGGGTCTGCTCCATTCATTGCTGCTATCTCTGAAATGACAAAAGCAGTGATTACTTTACCTGACCCTTCAGAATGAGGGACCTGAGACCCGAGGGACCAGAGGGCACACAGAAACTGGAACATCCGATTGTCACGGAACACTGTCCCTCCTGGCCCTGCTCAGCACCTCACTTTGGTACCCACCTGGCTTGGGCTGCCCATCAGGAGTCTCTGAGGCTGGAGGACCTGAAGGTTGGGGTCCTTGTGAACCCTGAACATCAAGGAAGTCAGCCTGCTTTGGTGAGGGACTTGGAAAACTGACTGCCCAGGTCTCCCCACCTCCGGTCTTCTTGGGGGGCTCAGCTGGCAGCTGTTTGGCAGGAGGAGTGCTTCTGGCCAATGCCAGGTCTGGCTGGAACCCAGGCTCCTGAGTGGATGCCACCTCAACTGGGGATACTGAGCCAACCTCAGAGGCTCCTGGATCCTGCTGGGTGAAGAGGGGACCTTGAGCTGCTTCCAGGAACTTTTCCTCACCCCCATCCTGTTTTTCCAGCACTGGCCTCCTGACAGTGCCTGGGTGGGGTGCAAGAGTGTGGGGAGGACCCTGGTGGGCTGAAGGGAATGTCTCTGAGAGCCTGGTCTTGACTTTGGCAACCAGACTGTCATCTCTAAGTGGTTGCTGTCCCTCTTGGCCTCCAGGCCCCCCTGAAGAGGGAGGAACTGTGGCTACCCTGAGTTGGAGTCTGGGGGTTGTAGTGCTGAAAGTGAGATGTGGGGGCCCCACTGGATGGGGTGCTGGTGCATCTTGCTCCAGAGGCTCCTGTGAGTCAGGAGGTCCTGTCCAGCCCTGAGAACTTGGCCCCTGAGCCACTTGGAAGTCATCAGTTAGCGGGAGTCCTTCTCTCTGAACTCCCTGGGCTGCTTTAGGTCCATGCAGCACTGGGCCAAGGGGAGAGTCTTCGATCCTCTCAGGTACCTCCTCAGCAGGGACTTGGGGGACACTGAAGTTCCAGGGGCTCACATCTCTGTGCTTCCCCCAGAGGAAGTTGAAGGCTTTGGGCTCTGTGCCAACAGGGGCCTTGGGGTGGGCTCCTGGGACCAGGTCCTTCTGTGGCCTGGGAAGGCTCCTTCCCAGAGCAGGGCCAGCCCCCAGGGACAGCAGCAGCAGTAGTTGCAGGAGGCCAGGTACATGGCACCATGGGCTGGGGGCCATGGTCCGTCCACTCTGATGCTTGGGCCTAGAACCCTCAACTTCCAGTCCTCACTGGATAAGCCTAAAAAAAAGGAGAGGGGGAATGACATGTGAGGGTTCAGGACACGTGGCTACCCCAAGGGGGTTGGTGGAAACGAATGAAGAGCAACATGAGGCAGGTCCCTCCGCCCCCACACATTTCCCCCCTTCCCGGTCAATCTCTGTGCTGCCCAGAGGGACCTTTTAAAACTGCATTTCTGGTTATGCCACTTGCCCTGCTTCAAAACCTTCAGTGGCTTCCCAGCACCCTCAGAGAGAATTAAGACCCTTTCCTGGCCTTCCAAGGCCACACCCGGCTGCTCACCTGTCCTCCACACCTACTGGACTGCCTGACACCACAAGCCTTCGCTCCCGCCATTCCCTCTGCCTGGAATGCTCTCTTCCTTCTCCTCCACTTGCTGAAATCCTATTCTTGAAGTCCCAGCTCAAATACGAGAGAGCTGGAGAGGGACAGGAATAGGCCCCTGCCTTTGAGGAGGGACCTGGGTTTGAATCCCAGCTTTGCCAGTTCTGGGTTACTTTACCTCTCTGCATCAGGGTTTCCTCATGCATA